CCCCCGCCTCCAAAAGACAGACGGACTGCCGTTTTGGATCACACTTGAACCAAAATGGCAGCCCATTACAAGCTCAGGATGATTCATGTGCGCCCTAGCCTGCCAAACTCAACACATGCATAGGACGGTTTAGGGTATAAGGGTCTAAGGGTGAGGCTTTTTTCCCTCTCGCATGGCAGAGAACAATGCTCACAGGCGAGGTTGTTAAGGAGAACACAGTAGTTGCATCCGATTACAGGGTTGGGATTCAGGGTGTAGGGTGTTCCAGCAGCGTCTCTAAGCTAAGGAAGCAAAGCTCTTGAGAATCGAATAGGCCTATTTCGCAGCATCCAAGGCACATAGGTGGAGACACCTGCATACAAAATAGCCAACCACAGCAACCAGCCTGCAAGCGAAGTGCGCCAGAGGCCGTCAAAACGAGAGACACATGCATGTATATATACCGTTTACAAAATATGATGTGCTTTTATATGATACATACATACATATATATATATACATATGTGCAAACTGCAATGCCAGCCTGGGAAGTGGAGGCCTTCGTAACCAAACACGTTCTGAGGGGAGAGTGTGTACGTCTTCATCGAGAACATGAAGAACTGCAGCAGACCTTGAGTCAGTAGAAACTCCCGAGCCTCTCTTGCTAAGACGCTGAGAAAACCTAAGCGGCTAAACCCCAAACCTTCTTCCTCCGCGCACTCATTGCTAAGCAAGGGTCTGTTGACCGCTCCGACTGAAAGGTCGACGGAACTTGAGATGAAGACCTGCACATCGAGCCACTGGGCAAGAAGAGGTTGAGGGTTTAGGATTTTCAAGCACGACAGATCGCAAATACATCTGTCAGCAGCGCGAGGAATTTCTCAAATCTAAGTCTGTTCGAAATCCTTGTAGCTACTCTTTAACTGTACCCCCCTCCAGCCCTGATTATACGCAATTGTTTAATCAGTTCGTGTGGCAAACTTTCTGAGACAGTGCTTTCCAATGCACCGTGAGGTAGTGAACCCTTGCTGCCGCCGCGACATACACACACACACACACGCGCAGAACTTAAACTATCTACAAGTATCTGTCTACATTGCGAAGACAAGACCCGCATAGACGGCAACAAACTGTTGGAACATCCCATGGCGCAACCTTAGTGAATCTGCAGAAGCCTTGCCTGCACATCCTCCTGGATTCGCTGGTCTGGATTGCTAGCGTCCGCACCATCTTGTCCCTTCGTCAATTCCAGCCTTGCCACGCTTGTGGCAGGGTCCGCTCGATGTTTGTTGTTTTGTTTTGTTTTCTTCCGACCCTCTTCCGACTTCAGACTCTCCAAGTTTTTAGGGCCAGTGAGGGTTCAGGACTCAACCTCTCCTAAGGCAGAAGTGCTCCTGAACAGAGAAACTCTGCCCCGAGCCAGGCTTTAAGAAAATGATGGCGAGTGCCGCTTGGGTGGCAAATCCTGGTTCAGTCTGGTCTGGTTTGGCCATCAGGTCTCGATATGTCTCCATCTTCCTTTGGGAACTTAGGGACATGAGGCAATCAGTAACGCCTTTAAAGAAGTGCCAGGAACATTGTCGGCTAAAGCAGTCTTGTTCAAGAGGGTTTCCCATGATACCTAGAGGCAAGCAGCTACTGCAGCAGAGGCTAGACTCTGGCTCGACTCATTGTGTAAAGCACCCTTCCAAGGCCGTGTCGGCCATGAGGCGAAAATCAAGGCGTACCGAACGAGCTGTGGACAGGATTCGCGCAACTTGGAAAGAACAAGCCGACTTTAAGTTCGGAGCCTGTAGGAACTAAAGTCGGACAGCCAATTCGAGGTGTAGCGCTCCTCGGAACGAAGGGTCTCAGCATGCAAATAAAAGAAGTGACGATGGCTCTGAGAATGCTACTGCTTCACTTGGCGGTGAGATGGTGATTATGAGGATCACAAGACTGTCTCTGGAATCTGTGCTATATGGGGGCTTTAACGATCAGACTAGGACCTTAGGGAGCAGTAAAACTTATAAGCAGTAAAATAAGGGCACCCGAAGGAATAGTACTGCGCATGCCTCAGGCCCCTATACGAGCGGTTGAACCACTGGGTCTGCTGATTGAGCTCCCTTCTTAGACTTAGAGGTTTGGCTTCAGGTCGCGCTTTTTGCCTTCGGGGTGAGTAAGGGTTTCGGTTTTTTGGGGGTATGGGGGTTTGGGGTCCTTTAGGGCTTATGTAGGGCTTTTGGGATTTAGGGTGGCGATGATTGTTGAGACAAGAGTCTGTGACGTTCTCGCGCACCAGCAACACGAACATGGACGTCAAGTAGTAGCGGTAGGCAGTCGCAAACAGTGCCATGAGAGCATACATCAAGAATTGTGCGCAAAGCGCCTGGAGCTGGTACCAATGCCTCATGTTCTTACAGGGCATTGGGAGGTTTCTGAAAGTTCGTCGAAACTTGTCCAGATGCTTGTCAACCGCGACCTACTTTTTTGGGTCTGTACAACTTCAACGGTCCCTAATATTCCTGAACTCTCCCAGCTGTGGCCTGTTCGGCCTATTCAGCTTAGAGGTCTAAAGGGACAGTGCGAGCTGCATCATGCCATCCTTGGCCGAGTTCCAGTCCTCAGCTTGAAGCGCCAACACCGGTGGAGCTGTCCACAAGGCGAAGAAAGTTTGACCGAGAGTTATAAAACCGAATAAAAATCAACAGTGCTACGTAGGTCAGCTTCCTACCAACCTACGCGGCAGAATAAAGAACACTTTCATGGAAACTCTGACCGTGGACTGGATCACATAGCACGCAACAAGCAAACACCTGTACAGCAGTACGCAAGGCTCGGATCACAACTGACCGAAACGAAAGGAATTCAGCATGTCAGCGTGTGATCTTGAAGCATTGCAGGACATGGCAGAACCACAGAGAGAGAGAGAGAGGGAGACGGAAATGCAAGTGCACAAACGGGTGTGCAAATGCAGAGCCACTCGTATGTGTGGGAATATATCGTTTGAGGTCAGCAAATAGTTTTTAGTTGGATGGACGGAGGGATATATGCATGTTTGCGTCGCGTTTTTTTATTGGGAAACAAACAAACACCTGAAACACGCAAACACACACGTGCACGCACACACACACACACACACACGCGCACACACACACACAGGGGCACGTGTCGGTCTGTCGGTCTGTCTATCCATATTATCTGTCTAGCTATCTGTCCACCTGCCTGTTTATCTACCGTGACCATCTATCTAACCGTCTGACTGTCTATCTAAATACCTAAGTATATCAGAATCCATTGATCGACCGATCGATCTAGCTTGCTTGCTAGCTATCTCCGTGGGTGTGTGTGTGTGTGTGTGTGTGTGCGTGCATGTAACAATGTACATTATACAGCGATTTGGAGAAAGAAAAGAAGCAAAGGGTCTCTCAGCCTGTTGCCCCATTAATAAGAGCTAGCAAACCATGCCCTGCGGGCAGTGTCGGGCAGGGAAGCTGATGCCAAGAATCAGACAATTTTCCCCAGAACTTGTCTGCCCAGTCCACGAGCAGCAGGTTTGCATATTGGGACATCAGGATCATGGCGCTGATCAGCCCGATGCAAACAGCACTTAGCCTTGGCATCAAACTCCAGAGGGGATGGCAGGTAGCAGGGCCACTCTGCAATCTGTCCCAAGGTCTCTGATTCTTTTCCGACGGCGCATGCTTGGCACTTTGGCGCGGTGCTTCATGAGACAACTTCAAGACAACCCTACCAAAGACAGCTGGTCAGGGGTAAATGATGGATTCATGGACCGTCGCCCACACGCCCCTGGTACGATGCTAGCGTGCTGAGGTGTAACATGTGACAGATTCTGTATTTAAAATGCATTAGATATTATGTTGGATGTTTTGTATATTATATATAATCACTGTTTTCTGTGGGGCAGTTGAGACCAAGCCACTGACTGAACCCAAGGCTTCAAAAAGAAATTGCCCGATGAGGCTGCAAACTCCAGCACACGTTGGTACCAAGCCAAGATCAAGAAGATCTCCAGCAGAACTCTCACTGCGCACCGTGTGCTTTCAAGATCTGCATGGTCGCCTCCTGTCGATTCTGCGTGGCGACTGCCAACGGCGTCATGCCCTGTGCATTCGGCTGGCTGACGTTGGCGCCCACCTGGGGGCCGATCGAGACCCGTGCGCTCTTGCACGCTTGTCATGTGCGGACCAGTTCAGCATTTTTCAACCAATGACACATGAATACATCGGATTTGTAGTAATCGGTTAAGGGACGGGGGGTTTAGATCATCAACCCTCACATAGCGGTTCAGGAAACAACCCAAACCTCGTACTGTGCCCACATGCCCGGCCCGCTGAACGAACAAGCAGTCGAACGGCCGAGCCGCCACACAAAACCCTCATCTCTCCAAACCTCGCCCGCGACCTCCCGTTGAAGCCCTTACCCCGAAAAGCCTAACCTTCCGAAGATACTCCCCTAAACCCTAAACAGCCCTAAACCCCGATTCATCCCGAAACCAGTCCCCGAAACCCAACCTTCAGGAGATACTCCAGAAGCTCCCTTCGGCCGTAGCCAGCGGCATAGTGCAGCCCACTGTTACCAGAACTGTCCACAGCCTCAGAAGCCGTGTCATCGGGCTTTGGGCTCCAGACCACAATCTTCGGCCGTAATAAATAATGTATTATTTGGGACTGCAGTGCAATAAATCATGTATGGACACTATATATTCTCGCAACAGCAAAGGACAGGATATCAGTTTATTCAGTATTGGGCATAGGAATCTACTCCATGAAACTATAGAGCAGCACATCTATAATAATTCAATTGGGGTTTTGCCACGTCCTTTGAGGTTGGGGGTTTCAAATCTGGTCCGAGCGGCGTATGGGTTGGCCCTGCTGTCCAAAAGCTTCTTTACCACTGCGATGCGGTTGGAGCCGATGGCATAGCCTAGCGGGGTGATCCCCTTGAAGTCCTGCGCATCCAGGGGCTTGTTCTTGTCTAAGAACTGCTGGACGGCTGCGAGATCCCCTTTCTTGGCCGCTTCGTGGAGGGTCAGCGAGGTGTCTTCAATCTTCTGAAGAGCGGGCTGAAGCTCGGCTGGCAGGCCACCCATCTTCTGGCTAATTTTTAGCATCAGCTCTTCCTAGGAGCTCTGAGGGTTGGCCCCTCAAAGCCTCTGAAAAATATTAGCAAATAAGATAAGATCCTCTTAAGGCCAATAAAGGAAAATATAAAATGTCCCAACAGCCTACCTAGCTTCGTCCTGGTAATACTTCATCACGGCTTCCATGCCATTCTTCTTGATGTCTTCGAAGATGGAGGCCAATTCCGGGTCCTTCTCAAGGGACTTCACCTTATCCTGGACCGGCGTGTCGCCGCTGGCCATCTTGTTGCTGTAGTGCTCTGCGATGGCCTGCGTCTGCAGCCAACCTCTCATGGCATCCGGGTTCTTCGCAAAGCTCTTCAGAGTCTTTGCGGTCTCTGGGTTGCTTTCGACGTAGGCCCGGACCTCTGCCCATGTTGCATCATCCACATCTGGGAGTCTGGAAATCTCCATGGTGGTGCCATCGCTGATTTTCAGCGTCTCGGTGGCCATGTTTGCGGCTGTTTGCGCTGAGACAAATCGGGATGAGAGGCTACTGTAGGCTTCTGCCTTGAGGCGAGGTTGGTGGCATAAGTGACGAATATGCCCGATTGGCTGCGCCTCCGAGGGAACCACATCACAACATAACCGACTGGCGAACTACAGCGGCAGCGAAACTGATTGGATTGTTTTCGCTCATGTGTTGGAGGTGTTGTTTTCTTTTCGGGTTCGCTTTCCTTCCATTTCCTTCCCACTGCAGCAAGCTATTGCTAATTCAGTAAACGGGTACTTTCTTGCGACAAGTGGTCGGGTCAGCTGCTGGTAAAATCCAGTGTGGTCGGTGTTGCTTGGTTGTGTAAAGCTAGCTGTGTCATAAACACGATGTCCAACTTTCAAGGAAACACTTACCCAGCACCTCGGAAGGAAACGGGATTCTCACAAAGATTTTACAACGACCAGAAAAGCCAAATGCCTTCGCGCATCGGTGTCAAATCCTCTTAACGAAAACATTTACTGGCACAGAAACAAGAACATGTACACTAGCTGCGCGAACTGGCAGCAAAAACAAACCCCGATTTAATGCCCAAACGTTGTCCTAGGGTTCCACTTCGACAGCAAGCAGCCTCCACCGCTCGGTTAGATACAACTTCCACAAGCGCATAGCTCCTCTGAGAGGTCCTGGCGGCAGTCTGCAATGCTTTGTCGAAGAGGTGACATCTGGTATTGACTTGTGGGCTGTCCTTCTTTGGCTTGCGACTGCTGCCTTTGAACGTCGTCGAACCTTGTAGTGTTAGGTCGCCAGATCGCACAAGGGCATGACTCATTCAGATGCCCTAAGACATCCTTAGACGGCTTCAATCCGAGCAGCAAGTGAAACGGAGATGTCAGGTCCACCCCGGTGCAATCCAAGTGGACAAGTTCGAAGGCTGCAATGCCAATCAAGAGCATGACCGCCACCATTACTGCATGTTCCGTTTGTCTGTTGCCGAAAATGGTCCTTGACTGGGTTTTGCCGTTCCGAACAAGGCAAAAACTACAACCGAGCGAAACCCGGTAAACAACTTGCAGCACGCGGCTGTGACACAGCCGTTTCGAAAGATGTCGGTGGATCTTCTTCAGACACATTTGCCCGCAACGCCTGCGCAGTTCAACACAAGCTTCCTTGCCGTGCCATCGTACTACCAGTAGCAGCATGCAGCAAACTTGCATGGTACAGTTCAGGTCACCAGTGACGTGACTCCGACAAACGGGCCAATCCTTGTTGACCGTCTGGTTGCCCACATCCGCGCTCTTGGACACAGTCCGGCCTTGGTGCAAACGCAGCAATCGCAAATTACGGTTCATCTAGCCGGATAATGAAACAAAGCAGGCGATGTGCGCATCATGAATCTGACTCAATCAAAAACTCCATGACACCTCGTCCACAGTTCAACGAAGCAGCTGTTTGCCGATCGTGTTTGAATCAGCGTCGTGGACTCCACGGCTTGGCAAGCTTCATTGCCGACAGTAGCTTGGATGCTGCAAGCACCAAGCAGGAGGAATCCATGGCACCACCGCGGCATTGCTGATTCAGTGTATGTACAGCTCGACACGCGGATGACGCTTGCTCTGGCAACCATGCGATGCACACAGTTCGAAGAAACCTGCCCCGTGACTGTTTGGCGGAATTCGCGCCGTCCTCTTGGCAGCCTTGCTTCTTTTCGCTACCGGAATCTGACTGCAGCAATGCATAACACAATCAACATCGCATCGTACACCTCAATGTGTATGCCACGGAAACGAATGTGTGTGATGTCGTCGCGTGGGGCTTTTTCCCTTCCATCACTCTATAGACCGATGTTAAGAGCCTGTCACTTGTTGGAAGACATAGTACCAGTACATCGACCCATTTTCTCACTCCCGGTACTGAATCAAGTTGCACACTTTCGGCACTTGCGAGCATGCGTTTTCCATTCCGTGTCTTCTCGACATGCTGGCAGAAACGCATTCTTGTTTTGGGACCGGGGTGGGACTACAGCAGCTACCAAGCGCCTCGAGAGGAAGTTGACCGCGAACCGTGAAAGCGCCGCCGCGATGGGCAAGCGCTTGCATGCACGAATCAAACGCGATATAACGCGATTATGACGGCGAAAGATGGCACCGTGGTGAGCAAGCGCCACGAAAAACCACGAACCAGTGGACGGCGGTGAGAGTGCGACGAGAAAGCGCCAGCATGTGGATGGCAACAAGTACCTCACATACGTGGCACTGTCACTCCAAAGGCTCGTTGGACACAACAGACACAGACCACGGCAATCCATTAAAAAATACTTCTTCAGGTAACCGTTGCGGTGATGATGGCAAGCAAAGCTTTCGGCAGTTGGTCGTGGCGATTGTTGTGGCAGTGTCCAAGGATGGTTTGGAAGGAGATGGCGACAACATGTTTTTTATTCAACATGTCGTGACAATAACGAATAATTACATCCATGGTGACGTGAGCCTTTCATGGACTACACATCGTGCTGAAAACGCTCATGATGTTGGTGCTGATGATGCTACACGTTGGTGGCGCAGGGTGATGATGAAGGTGCTGGTGACGAAGGTGTTGCTGATCGCATGTGGGCTTGATGATACTTATGCTGTGAATCGTAATGGTAGTGATTGCGATGGCTGCATATGGCATGGCCGCTGTGGGCTCTGAAATTCATTGTTGCAGAAAGGTGTCCCTGCCAAATGATGATGCGTTGTTCTGGATGTTCATGTCAACGGCGGTGGTGCTGTCGTTGTGGTCATGCTCACAATGGTAACGTGGCCTATGAGGATGATGATGTTTTAAGATGCGAGTCACGACACCGACCCCCCGCTCAGGGAGCCTGAAGCTGAGGGCTACGATGCACATGGTGGCACGCGGGCGAACGGCAGGAGGTGATTCTGATGCAAGTGATGTGGGTGATAATTGTTGATGATGATGCTGTGCGTCGTGATGATGGCATGATAAGTGTTACCGACGATGTTGGTCGTGACGGTGTCGGTGACGATGGGAACGAAGCCGAAAGAACTGCCGAGAAATGGTGCCAGGATTGCGCCGAACACAATCTTGATGTTCATGGTCGCAGTGGTACCGAAACGGGATGGAACCAACATGAAACGACCATGAAGGGACTGGCATCGGCGGTGTTGCTGCTGATGCTGTTGACGAGCACGATGCGATGGGGGTGGCGAGAAAATTGCAGCACCTGAAGCTGATGGTTATAACGCAAATAGAGGCACACGTGCGCACGGCACCGGTGACGAAGGAGGTGATCCTGTACATGATGATTGCGGTGTGAGCCTGAACCTGATCGTTATGTATGCTGCACAATGATGCGCATCATAGTGGCACAGTTCGAGCGGCACCGGTGACGAAGGTGGTGATCCTGATCCATGTGATGTTGGGATTTTTTGTGATGCTGATGCTGTGCATCGTGATGATGACGATTGCGATGGTGTCAACCGCTAGTGATGCTGCTGAAGATGTTGGTCGCGACGGTGTTGGTGACGATGGGGATGAAACCCGAAAGTATTGGTGCACGTACTGATTGAGGTGAGGATGCTCACCAAAATCGGTGGAGCTTGATGTTCCTGGTCGCTGTGGTACTGAAGCTCATAAAGAGGATGGGAGTAACAGCGAAGGCACTCGAAAAATCTTGATGCTGCTGCAAGTCAATGGCCGTATTCTGGTCGTGATGGTGACGATCCCGATGATGCGACTGAGAGCGCTCCGCTGGATGAGCCTGAAGCCGGATGGCCATGTCGTGGTCAAAACTGAAAATTGGTATTGTGTTGCACCATGATATACCATGATCATAACGATCATGCGGCTTCTGATTGTGATCAGGGTGGGCCGTCCACCAATGCCGCACGGGGAACGTTGCAGAAACCGGCCGTCAAAACGCAAACAGTGTCGTCGGAATCACGAACTTGAGCGAAAAACTCGAAACAAGCTGTAAGCTCGAAGTAGTCCGGTAAGCAATCGGGCATTGTGCATCATGCACATGAAAAGGACGCTCCGCCCAATCAAGCATCCTCAGCCCTTCGCTCGCCCGTCGCACTTCGTCGGATGAGGGTGATGAAGAAAGGTGTGGCTGCCAAATGATGATTCGTGGCGTGAGGTTCATGTCAATGGTGGTGGTGCTGTCGTTGTGATCATGATCACAATGGTGACGTGGCCTATGAGGGTGATGATGTTTTAAGATGCGAGTCACGACACCGACCCCCCGCTCAGGGAGCCTGAAGCTGAGGGCTACGATGCACATGGTGGCACGCGGGCGAACGGCAGGAGGTGATTCTGATGCAAGTGATGTGGGTGATAATTGTTGATGATGATGCTGTGCGTCGTGATGATGACTATGATGACGCTTGTGATGATGGCATCATAAGTGTTACTGACGATGTTGGTCCTGAAGGTGTGAGTGACGATAGGAACGATTCCGAAAGAACTGCCGAAAGAAAAGGTGCCAGGATTGCGCCGAACCCGAGGCGGGGCGATGATCTTGATGTTCATGGTCGCAATGGTGCCGAAGCTCATGAAGGGGATGGAACCGGCATGAGACGACCATGAAGGGACTGGTATCGGCGGTGTTGCTGCTGATGCTGCTGATGAGCACGATGATGTGGCTTATGATGATGCGATAGGGGTGGCGGGAACATTGAGGCACCTGAAGCTGATGTTTATGACGCAAATAGAGGCACACGTACGCGCGGCATCGGTGACGAAGGAGGTGATCCCGTGTTGGTGATTTCTGGTAATGATGATGCTGCGCGGCGTAGCGGCGACGATGAGTGATGATGCTTCGCGTCGTGGTGACGATAATGGCTGGTGATTCTACTGAAGATGTTGGTCGTGACGAGATGAAACCGAAAATAATGCCGCACATCATGATTGCGGTGTGTGCCTGAACCTGATGGTTCTGCATGCTGCACAATGATGCACACAAGGGAGGTGATCCTGATACATGTGACGTTGGTGATTTTTGGCAATGATAAGGCTGAGGGTCGTGATGATGTGCAATGATGGCTGGTGATGCTGCTGAGTTGGTCGTCAACGGTCTGGGTGACGATGGGGCTGAAGCCAAAAACAACGGTGCACATGATGACTGCCGTGAGGATGCTGCCCACATCGGTGGGACGATGATGATCTGGATCTTCACGGTCGAAGTGGTATTGAAGGCAATGAAAGTGATGAGAACGACCGTGGCGTCGGCGGTGTTGCTGCTGATGCTGTTGATCAGCACGATGATGATGTGGCATATAATGATGCTATTGGAGTCGCCTCAACATTGGTGAGCCTGAAGCTGATGGTTACGACCGGTTACGACGCACATAGTGGCACAGTTCGAGCGGCACCGGTGACGAAGGAGGTGATCCTGATCCATGTGATGTTGGGATTTTTTGTGATGTTGATGCTGTGCATCGTGATGATGACGATTGCGATGGTGGCATAATGGTGTCACCCGCTAGTGATGCTACTGAAGATGTTGGTCGCGACGGTGTTGGTGACGATGGGGATGAAACCCGAAAGTACTGGTGCACATACTGATTGAGGTGAGGATGCTCACCAAAATCGGTGGAGCTTGATGTTCCTGGTCGCTGTGGTACTGAAGCTCATAAAGAGGATGGGAGTAACAGCGAAGGCATTCGAAAAATCTTGATGCTGCTGCAAGTCAATGGCCGTATTCTGGTCGTGATGGTGACGATCCCGATGATGCGACTGAGAGCGCTCCGCTGGATGAGCATGAAGCCGGATGGCCATGTTGTGGTCAAAACTGAAACTTGGTATTGTGTTGCACCCTGATATACCATGATCATAACGATCATGCAACTGCTGGTTATGATCAGGGTGGGCCATCCACCAATGCCGCACGGGGCACGTTGCAGAAACCGGCCGTCAAAACGCAAACGGTGTCGTCGGAATCACGAAATCAGGCACCCGGGAAAACAGCCATAGCGAACTTGAGCGAAAAACTCGAAACAAGCTGTAAGCTCGAAGTAGTCCGGTAAGCAATCGGGCATTGTGCATCATGCACGTGAAAAGAAGGCTCCGCCCAATCAAGCATCCCCAGCCCTTCGCTCGCCCGTCGCACTTCACGGATCCGCGAACGTGCTTCATGCCTTAAACGATCTCTTGCGTCGGCAGGGCATTTTTGGCGCGCTCATCGCGTTCCCACAGGCGCAGTGTCCTTCAATGACTCGTGCGACATCGTGATGCAGCGGAGAGGCGGAGTCTACACAAAGCAAGTCCTCCACGAATTGGGGCCACAGCTGCAGCAGCTCCTTCCAAGCTTCAGGATGTTTTGGCGCATGTTCATTGCTCGGTGCTCGCATACCCAAGTTAATATCTGACCCCAAAGCCCCAAGCCATAGGACGTGAAAGACCGCACACGACCAACCGACGCCGCTGTGGGCCGGCTATGTCTACGTTTGGTAGGATTCCCGTCAAAATTGTTTCCGCGTTGTAGCACCTTTACCATAGCACCCTAACCACATGTTCCCTTACCTTCAAGTCATACAGTATACAGTGCTGCTCACGCAAACACACGCAAAAATAACATCCTGATATGAATGCAACAGGGACAGCAACACGTCGTCCAACGCGCCTCCAACGTCTGCCGAAAAACCTCCGCACAGTCAATGCTGGCTGTTGCTTGACAGACCGATTTTCCGACATGCATACATATGACATTATACATATATATATATATATATATGTACGCATATGATAGGTGTGTATCAATATCAAGATCAATATCTACATTTGTATCTCAATCTAAAAATCGATCTCTCTTCTTCCACTGGGTCTGGGGGTTTCGCGAAACCCTATCTCTGTCTCTGTCTGCTGCTGTCTCTGTTTGTATGTTACCCAGTATCTCTGTTGTCTCATGCGCATTATCTGTGCTATCCCTTAATATCCTTACCATTTGTACCGCCTCAATTATCTTTATTATCCCTGCTATATCTCTGTTATCTGTATTGTCTCCGCTATCTCCATTATCTTTGTTATAGCTGTTATCTCTATAATCTCGATTATCTGTCAGGTCGATTATCTGAATCTCTCTACTTCTATCTCCATCTGCAACTCTGTCTTTATATCTATATCTATCTAAATCTCTATATGTATATCGTTATCTTTATCTACCTACATCTATATCTGTATTTTTCTTTATTTATGTATGTACCTATGTATGTACGTCTGTATGTGTGCATGCATCCATGCACGCATGTATATTACAGGATAGGAAACCCAAATAAATTTGACCGCGTTGCTTCAAAAACCTGAACCAAATTCCGAACAATCGATTCCAAAACTCCATACGGTGGAGCGGTTCTAATTGCATCGAAAATGTGTGGCACGGGCTTCAAGTCTGTAGGTCATCAGCATACATACATATATACATACACACACACATGCGCGCTCACGCCCCTTGATGCCGCTCAGATGGGAACATACACAACAGTTCGTCTGAGCCAGCAAACCCCGCAAAATGGTTCAATTGTGTCAAACCTACACATCTACAGCAAAGTGTAGGTGTAAGCGTAAATGAAGGCGCATCTGGTCGGGCCTCCCTGTGGGCCTAAGCATCCGGCACAGCTTGTTCACTGTCATTCGTGCAAGTGCTCTAGTGCCTATGAAAAATCCGGTGCCTGGGACGACTGCAGAGGGAGGCAAGTGAGCATCGACAGCTCCATGCGCTTGATGCGATCCTTAGCAAGTTGTTCGTTGTTGTTGGGGGAGACCACAATATGTACTCTGTACGTGCATACATATGTATATATATATATATACATACTGCAATAACACCACCTATACCCACAAACACATGGTTATCAATATATACACGAATTTCTGTGTGTGTGTATATATATATATGCTTGAATGCATGTTCATATGTATATCTGTATTTAGGCTTCTATTTTCTACCTTTGTTTAGGTCTAGATTCATACCTATATTCATGTTTGAATATTCAATTACATGTGTTTGTACCTAGACCTGTGTATATATATATATATGCATTTTTATGTACATGTATACATGGTACCCCCTAGCCCGACACCCAAGCTGATCATGCATTGCATGCACCCGAACTTATACCATCATCTGCCCGGGTTATGGGTGTGTGTCATCAACCGAAATTGTCCTTACATCCGAGCAAGAATTCGGCCCCTGACTTGCAATATTTTCTGCAATTACCGAACACATTTCAACTGCTCCAGCATTTCCGACCTAAACACCTGTCTGACGCGTTTAGGATTTGACAAACTTCCAAATCCGAAAACGTGCAAGTTGCCAGCTGCTCGTGAAATCTTGGGTCTTCGACGACGGCTGAAATTTCTCATACAAAAAAAGCTCCGCAACCTCGCTTCGCGGGACGGGCTTGCATCAAGCAAAGTGTCAAGAACCTCAGTTTTCCAACGCATACCTTTTGCATTTGGTGAGTTCTTACAAATATGTTGTTAAGATTCGTTCCAACTTTTATCAGTTTTAACAGTTGGAGACGTGATAAGGAAGGCAGCAAAGACGCAGAAAGCATTGAAAGACTGCTGTATGGCGCATAGACGTCTCGAGCGAATTCTCGTTCCCATTGGTCCGAAAACTGCAGCCATGACTCCTGCTTAGATGTTTCAGGCGTGACTCCTATGCAAGCGTTTTCAGAGCTGGTATTCCTTGGTTCTTTCAAACGACACGAAACCAAGTGTCCGACCGCGAGAGGGATGCTTTGCAAAGGCCGCACGAGCGCACAGACGTCGACAGTTGCAAAGGCAAACTGTACCTGCGATGCTCTTTTTGGAAAAGCCAGATTCCAGATGCGATACAACATCGTGGATGTCTGCCTCTTCCGAGGAACGAGACTCAGCCTCAAAGACCCGGTTCACGAACATACATAGTGTTGCAGAGTCGGGAATGCAGTGGCCAGCGACTGCAGCTTGAGGAACAGCTGCTTCATGAAGGGTTCACCATCAGCGATGCCCTGTCCCGACAGAATGTCGTCGTCGCAAACCAATACTGCCTCTCTGGCAACAACGGCTGTAGCTATTTAAGTGCTAGCCGGTGGCTGCGGGCACACTCATATTGCGCCCAGACATCTGTGCCCCCACTCATCGCCAGAGACGAAGAGCGAAGTTTTCGACTAACACGCACCACAGCGGTGCCTGCATCCTCATCGTGAGCAAACCGCCAAGTACGCTTCATTCTGCGAGACTCCCACCAGCAGCTAGCAGCTCGTGCCCATCCACGGCTTTGAACATGATGACTTCCGGAACCTTTTTGAGATTTCCACAGTTTCCAAAACTTTTCATCTCCCAAGATTTGAAAAATCAATATTTGTAACAGCACCTTAGCCACAAACACAGCGCAGACATGTGTCTTCTGCGCACGAACGGTCTGTTGCCGCTTGTCCGTGACCATGCGTTGGAAGGCAGCGAAAACCCCAAAGCAATCTGCGACCCCAGCAAAGAATTCTTCCCCTATGTGTAACTATGTGTGTATATGCGTGTATGTAGACGGGAATTGCTGCCGCATGTGACAACCCGACGCTACAAGTAAGTACTGAAGCTCCACCGGCGCAAAATCTCAGTGAGCGGCCGCAAACCGGGGTATGGCTCAAGCTTGAGAACTAATTAATGCGTGTGGGCGTGATCTCGGGGTGTGCAAGAACCTGTGTCGCTGCTATTTCATCACGTGGGTGTGTATAAAAAAAGTTGCGCTGCGGAAAATCTTCGAACAAGACCGCGTGACAGCAGCAAACAGGCTAGGTCGAAACTGCAAACAGCCGACATCTTTCTCCGAAATGTTGTGTGGCGCTTTCAACGCGCACGCGCCGTGAAAAGGGTCCGGCTCCAGATGCGAGAGCAAAATCGAAGAGGAAAATCAAGCCACGCTACTCGTCGGCTTCGGGCGGGTCGCGCTCGTTTTCGTTCTTGTCCTCCTTGGCATCCTTGCCATCTTTATCTTTGCCATCCTCGTCATCCTTTTCGGCCTCGGAGCGTCTCATGGAGTTGCGCGTCCCAGGCAAAGTCGCAGCCAGGGAACTTCATGCAGCGAAACCAGCAGTTGATCTTGCCCGAGTTTTGTGAAGCGGAAGCGGACGACGGCAATACTTCGATGCCATGTTCGTTTTTGCACGGTGTGTGCAAAACATGGTTTGTCGAGTAGCACCAGCACTTTGGCCGTGAGACAGGAGAGAGGGATAAATGCGAAATCTCAAAATCAGAGACGGTGTGCGCTTCCAGGGGGAGGGGTGCGTGTATATATCTGTATATATATATATATGTGTAT